TTTACGTTCACAATATCGGTATGACATCACACTTCGTTCATTAACACTCACTCATAAATATCACGCACAACATCACTCTTCGTACTTTCCACTCATCCTTACCCAAGCAACAATCACACAAGGGAATCAATAAAAATCACAATAGAATCCCGGCAAGGGAACAATGGTATAACAATAATATCCCGGTAAGGAAAATAATATCATAAGCAATAACATCCCGGCAAGGGAAACAATATCATAAACCTCTTCTCATTTCCACAATCACTTCTCAACACAAATCTCAACTTGAGCCAATGCTCTAAAATATTCAATTACCAAGAATACTTCAATAATCCTTGTTCAACATTGATAATCATCATATTAAGCATGGATAATACATAGCGGAGTCACAACAATCATAGTATAAGACTCACAGACATGCTTGACACCGACGTATAGATACTCGTTACCACACCTATACGTCGTACTCAACAATTAAAACATAACAAATAAGACGACGACTCTTATTCCTTAAACTTAAGGTTAGACCAAACACTTACCTCAATACCACAAACACAATCAAGCCTCAACTACCGCTTTACCCCTCGATTTCACTTCCAATCCGCTTGAATCTAGTTATAATTTACTTAACGATATCAATAAATGCTAAATAAACCAATTCTAATGCATAAAAATGGGTTTTCTAATGATTTCTCCAAAAAGTCAAAAATCGACCCCGGGCTCGCTTGGTCAAAACCCGAGGTTCGAACCAAAATCCGATCACCCATTCCCCCACGAACTCAAATATATAATTTATTTTGAAATCGAACCTCAAATCGAGGTCCAAATCCCCAAAATTTAAAAATCCTAAGCTAGCGTTTGGCCATAGATCCCAAATTTATTTTGAAAAATCTGATTTGGGTGAAGTTTGGGTTGAAGATGAAGATGTGTTTGGACATACGTTTTCAAAACATATTTTCCAACTTTATTTTGGAAAAACATGTATATAATTCCCCAAGTTTTGGGATTTTGGTCCAAAACCAGCTCAATAGCTGATTTTGGGATTTGAGATTTGGGATTTAGCCAAAATATGAGCAAACTTTATGGCCAAACATGAGTTTTGAAAATAAATCCTAAATTTATTTTGACCAAAACTCATGGCCAAATGGAAGTTCAACCCAAAATCACCCAATTTCCCATGAAAAACCCTTGATTTTAAAATAAAATCATGTAAAAAGATGGACTAGATTGAAAGAAATGAGTTAGAAATGACTTGGTAATGATTTGGAGAAGAACTTTTCTTTGGAAAATCGCCCAAGAGAGTTTAGGGTTCGAGAGAGTTTGAAAAATGAAGAAATTTCGTCTAAGTTATAATTTGCACAGGTGCAGTTATCGCATTTGCAAAGTCAGGTTCGCAAATGCGAACTCGCAAATGCGGCACAGGCTTCGCAAATGCGAAGGTAGGCCTGCCCTGCTTTCTTCGCAAATGCGAACTACCGTTCGCAATTGCGATCCCTGCTGAAGTCGCATTTGCGACATTGAGTTTCGCAAATGCGAAGGTCTCCATGCCCAACCCTTCTTCGCAATTGCGATATTTCTTTGCAAATGCGAGCTCGCATTTGCGAGCCAGGCTTCGCAAAGATGCACGCAAGTCCAGGCCTGCAACACACCATCAATTTTCCTAAGTCCAATTTCACTCCTTGGCCTATCCAAAACTCACCCGAGCCCTCGGAGCTCCAAACCAAACATGCACGCAAGTCCAAAAATATCATACGGACTTGCTCGTGCGATCAAATCATTAAAATAACATTAACAACTATGAGTTAACCCTCACATTCATAAAATTACTCAAGAACATCAAAATTTTCATTTTCTCAAATAAAGGTCCGATTTGTACCAAACGAACTCCGATTCTTACCAAACTTCACAGATTCAACTTTAATTATTATATAAGACCTGTACCAGGCTCCGGAACCAAAATACGGGCCCGATACTATCAAATTCAAACATCTTTAAATTTCAAAAAACTCTTATAATTTCAGTTAAACAATTATGATACCTTTTGAAGTATAAATAAAATCATGAAAGGCCGTCCAAAGTCGACGACATTGGTGCATGGCAGCCATCAACGAACACAAAGATATAGGCAGAATGCCACTTCTCCTTTTCTCTTTATGGAAAATACTTTAATATAATTCATTTACATTTTTCCACAATGTTTGTAACGTCAAGGAAAAAAAAATTCTTTTTCAAGAAAAGATACAAATAAAATTTGTTCCTGTATATGGAAAAAATTGATTTTCACAGGCTTATTTGACGAGTACCTTACACCTATAGATGACCACTAATTTAAGCAAATCAAAATAGGAAAAAAAAAGAGGATAGGATTTTGTCCTACTTAACCCAATGTTATCAATTAAAAAGAGAATTCTGCTGATAATGTTAACATAAAATTGGAAATATATTGGTGACTTGATAAGACTAATGATCAACATATAGTTTATATGTTGCGGAGGTTATTGCAACACCATCATTGTCCCTTATTTTTATCTTAATTAAGATGACATATGTATTTAATTTCGATTTATTGTTTTCAGTAACGTACCAAGAATTTTTTATAAATAGTGTCAATTTTACTCATGATAAACAAGCGGAGTATAATATTATTTAATTTGCTTGAGGGAAATCCATATATAATATTCATATATCCATATAAGGAACTTGTAAAGTCCAGGCAAGTTTGTAAATAAGAGTATTTATATTCGTGGAAAGATATGGTCAAATAGATCAAGGGTCAATAGTCAAACAATTATAACCTTAGGATAAATTAAAGCTGACCACCGCCTAACTCAACGAATGAGTTTAACCCTCCCAAATCCAAATCATAGCATGGCTTGCACAATCTATTTTAATATCCCCATTCTTTAGCTTCTATTGGATAACGGTATTACCAATTTTCTAATCCAGAACTCACTAACCCGGACAGACTTGCGCATATCGAGCTGAAAAAAATAAAAGCCAAATTAAATCTTAATTATGACCTTTTTCTTTTTTCTTTTTTCACTTAGTGTACGGTAGTTGTTTTGAAATCGGAATAATTCGGTTAGGAAATTTTACTTTGAAAAATGAGATGCTCTCTATCAAAGGTAACTCACTCATAAGGTTTGAATCCGAAGCCTTTGTTCGAAATTGAAGAGATATTTATTACCCCACCACAATCATTAAGATTAAATTTATGGGCAATCTTTAACCATTATCATTAGAGGTGTAATTAGATGATATTTATGTCTACTAATTTCTGTGTAAACTTTGATTGCAAGTGCAGATTTTTTTCTTTCAAATTTATAAATTGAAATTCTCACTAGGGGGTTTCCTCCTTTAATAGTTTTCATAATAAAGCATTCAACTGAAATTGATGCAGACTTAGTAAAAAGTAAGATACAATGAAAGAAGAAGATTTATAAATGTTGGGTTTTGGATGTGTTTAATTAATATATTAAATACTTAAAAGAGGGTGAATGGGAAATGGAGGGAAATAAAATTTTTGAGTGAAATTTTAAGTTCCCCCCTTGGCAAATGGGCATTGTCCCATATTGGAAGAGGAAGAGGTTTTTTATGGGTATATAAACAATTGCTCTTCTTCTAGCTCTTAAAGAGTTGAGAAGAAGGCAAGCCTCGCGCCGTCGTCGTCGCTCGCTCGGCTACGGCTTCGGATTCGGATTCGGATTCGGTCAATTGATTGATTGACTTTTTGGACCAAATTTATTTGTTAATAGTAAAATATTAACAGAAATGTTATTAAACATTTGTTTTAATAACAAAATATTAATATTAAATATTAATATTAAATCCAATCCGTTTTTCTATTTTGGTAACAGAAAAGTAACTACCCTCTTCAATTTTTCCTCTTTATTTTCCCTCTTTATTATTGAGTAAATGGCCATTTATGTAATGGCATTTATGCTGTGGGCGTTTTGCATAAACAGCCATTCTGAAGAGTTGCACCTCTTCAGATTTCAGCCTAACTTTGGCTATAAATACAACACTATTCTGTTCAGAATTTCACTACGATTTTCTGAGTTTCTTCTCCTTCTTCTGCATACTTTTAGCATCAAACAAAGCAAAAAGTAAGTGTGATTTGCTACCGAACTTTGTGTTCGCTGAAACACTGGGTTTGAAGTACCACTACACCAGTGTGTAATTCGGTCTATCCTGGGAGGAAATAATCCATAACCTTGGGTACTAGGAGGGGATTAAATTCCTTAAGGAAACACTGTGAATTCAGTGGGCTCGAATTGGTTTTATGTCATTTCTGTTTATGTTCATTTCTGTTTATACTCATTTATATTTCCAGAATTATTTTACAAATACAGTCTACTAACAATAAAGGCGATAAAAATTAATAATTGCGAATATCTTTTGGTCATATTAACACGTTTACTTTATCTATCCTATGTTATTTACAAGTTTTCTAGTCTCACTAGAGAATCTTATGTCAAAAATATAGATTTTTTTTTTTTATAAATATTTTTGTAATATTAGGTTGAAATGAATTTAGATGAGATTATAATCAGTGAACTCATATAGCGGACGCCAACTATTTAAGATTGAAGCGTGTTGTAAATATTAAATCACCGAATCATAACAACCATAACAACTATAGTACTTATCACTTTAATTTAATTGCTTACTGAATTTCAAACGAAGCTAACTACAAATAATTAGTCACATGGATAAGCTTTTCCACCTCGAAAGTCGAATGCCCATGACTCCAAGTAGGACTAAAGATACAAACCATTCTTAAGCCTTAGCACCATTTTCAATTTCTCTTACCCCGCGATTTTGCTGCTCTCTAACTTGCGCCATGGTTACAAGTACACACTCGCTGTCACTTTTCGTACGTGTCAACTGCATGTCACTCTTAACCCTGACGTGGCAATTTTATAAAATATGTGCGCATATAACCTCCCGGCGCACGTTAGCTTCCTGACTTGTATAATTTTCAATTTCCCACCCGATTTTTAGTCCTTTTACTCTACGCTTAAAATACCTTCACCTTAACAACTGATTCGTTTTCTTCTCTCTTTTCTCTCTCTCTCTCTTTGCAGAAGACTAAAATCCATTTGCTAAAGCGGTTTGTCAGCTAGCTTCTTCTCTTTCAATCTTATGCAGATTTATCAATTATTTTCTCCAAATTCAAGAAAAAATAGGACTCTATTCGTCTTTGATTACTTCTGCTGAACGTTGCTGGTAATACTTCCATATTTAGAAAATTATATTTATATATATGTGCACATGGTGTATATGCGTATAATGGAAGTTTTTATTTGTGATATATAAGAACAAGCTAGCAGAATAACTGGGTTTGTCGGTTTTGTTTCATCTTCAGGCACGTACAACATTTGAAGCAAAAAGTATATACCTTGTGAAGTCGTCACATTAAGTAAAATGTCTTCTCCTTGTTATTCTTCATGATCGGAAAATCAGTTTTCTGATCAAAATTGAGAAAGTTTGAAGTTGTTGTACGGTCGATCGGATTTTGGAGGTGTCGCTTTCGGTCGAGGTGAAAGTAGTTGAAAAACCAGCAAAAAAAGGTTTACAAGAGGGAGAAAGCGTGCGGGTTGAAAGTTGAAACTTTTTGTGAGATTTTTGTTCACGTGAGGATTGTGAAAAAATGCCGCATAGAACGACTTACTTCTTTCCGAGGCAATTTCCTGACCGCGGGTTCGATGCATCTGCAAAGTTTGTTAATGATGATCACGAGAAGAAAATCAGTACTGTCGTTGCAGATCAAATTAAATCAGGAAAATCTTCAGATAATGTCACATCGAAACAGCTGACAAGTGATCATCGGAAAGAGACTAATAATAATGCTTCATTTTCCTATGGGCACCGTGATAAGATTCACGGGAAGCAATTGTCTGCTTTTGTGAACTGGCTGGCGGAGAAAAATAAGAAAGGTAAATCAATACAGAATCACGTGAAGATCAAATTAGATGATGTTGATGGTGATGATGAACATGAACTTTTACTTCCTGCTCCGCCTGAAGCTGTACCAGTACATGAACTGGTTGATTGCCACGTGGCGGAGGCGGAGCAGAAGCAACGGCAAGCATCGACATTTGATCGGAAAGCTTCATTACAGAGGTTATCGAGTAGTGGAAGCAATTTCAGTTGTGTGGCGAAGGGTAATTTTGAGAGACAAACTTCGTTGCAAAGGCTATCGAGTTGGGGAAGTACTAGTTATGCAGGGAGTTTGTTTTCGGGGACGACGTTGGATGGGAACTGGCCTAGTACTGGGATTAAAGATACGCAGACGGATCAGTCGACGACGAGGGAAGTGGAGGAAGTGGCGGCAGCAGAGGAAGAGGTGGAGAGACTTGACAGTGAGGATGCGTTGATGCAGAAGTCGAAGGAGAGCTATTACTTGCAGCTCACGCTTGCTAAAAAGCTTGTAGAGCAAGCAATGCTTGCTTCAGGAGAGCCTATGCTTCTGCAAGAATGCAGAAGTACTAAGCGCCTTGGTGGTTCTTCTGATGCTCAAACTGTGTCATATCGTTTATGGGTATATTTCTCCGCTCCTCTCTCTCTCTCTCACACACACACACACATACACACACAAACACTCTATTTTTGGGGAAAATTGCATGACTGGTAGTTAATCTTATGGAGGGAAACAATTCTATTACTTTTATTACTTTAGCTGTAAGCAGGGGCGGATGCATTAAAAGAAATTCACTAAATATGTACAAATTCTGTCTTAGAATCTCGAACTCATAAAGTTCAAACTGAATTGGCCTCTGCCTGGTAAGCATATGTTATTTGGCATGTTGCCTGTGGATTTCTATCTAATGCTTAAAGTTTGTGAAAATTTCAGGTGAGTGGTTCCTTGTCTTATGCTGACAAAATATCGGATGGGTTTTATAACATATTAGGAATGAATCCGTATCTGTGGGTTATGTGTAATGAGACAGAGGATGGTAGACGAATTCCATCTCTAATGGCACTAAAAGAAATTGAACCCAGTGATACATCAATGGAGGTTGTTCTTATTGATAGGCGTGGGGATTCAAGGCTCAGGGAATTAGAAGATAAAGCTCAAGAAATTTACTTTGCTGCAGAGAATACGTTAGTGTTGGCAGAGAAACTTGGCAAGCTTGTGGCTGTGTATATGGGGTAGGTATCAATTTTCTTCAACGTATCTCTAGACTTGACTTTCTTCTGCACGAATTTGAGTTCCTTGATATTTAAGGGGCTCTTTTCCGGTGGAGCAAGGTAATCTTCATCAGCGGTGGAAAGTTGTTAGCAAGAGATTAAAGGATTTGCAGAAGTGCGTTGTGCTTCCAATCGGCAATTTGTCCTCAGGACTTTGCAGGCACAGAGCTATTTTATTCAAGGTCAGTAAAATACCTCTTTTACCTCTTTCCCATATCCTCAAAATTTCAATTTTATCCAATATCTCTGAATTGCTTCCCCCCTTTTTCTCCCCTCCTGGTGACTAACAGTCATTTCTATGTTGGTAGCTTTTCGTTGTTCAAATTGATCTATGATCATCTTTGATGGTTAAAAAGAAAGAAAATATAACCTTCAGTAGTACCTTGATTTTTGATATATCTTTTGAGCATTTGTTTGTTTTTGCCCCAAAAAACCTGTGTGCGGTGCACCTTTGGAATGCTGCAGTGGGACTTGAGACATAATGTACTTTGATTACTAAAATTTATTGTGATGTTTGATGAAGGAACATATTGATTAAAGTAGTAGCTATACCTAGGATGTTTTCATAGCTTTTGAGCGACATAACAATAAACGATTGGTACTTACCATGGATAATTAAAGAGCGTTACATAAAAGATCACCAATGGAAGTAGCTCGAGGAGAAACAATAATGGTAATTATGCTTATTCAGTAAAGACTACCCTTCCTGAACTTTAGGGCATCAAATTCTTTTTGAAATATCTACATGCTCTCTACATAATTGTTACGTGGACAGGGTGAAATAGAATTCTAAACCGGCTTTCATTAATCGTTCTTGTAATTACTTGATTACTGAAATGAAGCTTTCAGAAAACCGAAATTTAGCTGATGACTATTGTGGAATGCAGAAATTGGCAGATTACGTAGGTTTGCCTTGTAGGATAGCTCGAGGTTGCAAGTATTGTGTTGCAGATCATCGATCTTCTTGTCTGGTGAAAATTGAGGATGATAGAAGATTGTCAAGGTAAAACATCTTATCCACTTCTCCATTAATCCTGAAGAAGGGGCGAAAAAAATCAAACTAGTTATCTCCCCTACCACCAACAAGAATTTTCCCCTTAGTTATCTCCCCTACCACCAACTAGATAATTGCACTCCTTGCCATTTCTTTCACCAGCTTTAATTGTGCTTTCACGAGTATGTTAAGATTGAAGCAGTGTGTACAAATTTTGAACCTTAAAGTGCTTTGATTTTCCATTAAATTTCTGTAAAGCCTGACCTTACTTGTTATAAACACTGGTGAGCATTATGTTTATTTTCACTTCATTCTTTTTTGACTAAAGTCTATATTGTATCAGAGAATTTGTGGTTGATCTTGTTGGGGATCCAGGAAATGTGCATGGTCCAGATTCCTCTATCAATGGAGGTGTATTGGCTCCTGTTCCTTCACCACTTCAAGTATCTCATCTGAAGGAATATCAGCAGCCTTACGTGGATAGTGACATAAGTAATCAGTTACTGCTGTCAAATGACACATTCGGTCCTGCAGAAAATGCTTTGCATACAGGTGTGCTGTTATTTACATACCCTTGTGGCTTTGATTGATGCTCCTATTGTTAGAAAAAAAGGGAAAAAAAAGGGATCTCACTAATTTAACATGTTAACCTAATGGTAGAGCTGTAGACGTTTTGTGGAAACTGAATAAAATTCCTATAAAGTGAACGGTGGCCTTTGCTTTTGAATACACCGATCTGACATTATTACTTGAAAGAAGATGATATAAGGGGAATTTACAACTTGAGATATGACATACGACCAAAGCAAGTCATTGTATTTGAAATTCTTTGGATATTACAATTGTAACTTCTATTTCCCTTAATAAATTGTTACGTATATCAGAAAGAATAGATAATTGGTGTTCCAATACAGGTGCCTTTTTATGTTGTGTCTGTACTGCAATAGTATCCTGCGTTGCAGCACAGGGAAAAAGCTTACTTGAAAATTCTCTTCCTGACTATTGAAAGGGCTTGTTCTATGCATTTGCATAAATTGTTAGAATCAGAAGCTAGATGATTTTGAAGTTCAGATTTTTAGTGTCACCATTGGAGAAAGAAAAATTGTAATTTCTATACTTGCAGACCCCCACATTGAAGGTGATCATATGAGCGAATTTGCTGTCAGTGATAAGCCAAAGTTGCCAAATGATGCACTGTGCCGCTCTTATCAAGCTTTGGAAGTTGAACCATCCGAAGTTCTTGTTGCTGCTGAAACGGCGGGAGATGAGTATTCTAGACCAAGAGAAGATAAAATCATTATCAGGCAGACTTACAAAAAGGAGGTTGTGCTATCCAAAAAGTCTCCAATATGCCCTGGCAAACCGCCAAAAGCAACTCTATTAGCTAATATAGATGCAATGGAGGCAGGAGGTAGAACAGGGAAGCGTGAGAAACCGGCTGCAACAAATCCCAGATACTTGAATCTTGAGCCTTCTCTTGCAATGGATTGGCTTGAGATCTCATGGGATGAATTACAGATGAAAGAGCGTGTTGGTGCTGGTGTGTCTTTGTGAATATGTCTAATGATTTTGAATTATTCCTCATGTATGGAACCCTGTTCGACATCAATGTATCTTGATGTACCTCTTCTTTCATGCAGGTTCATTTGGGACAGTACACCGTGCTGAATGGCATGGATCGGTCAGTATTATTTACTTTTGGGTTTGTAATCATGCTGTATTGCCTGTAAATCTAAATAAATTGTAATCATGCTGTATTGCCTGTATTACATGTCAAAGATATATAATGATCTAGGCAACGCAAAGGTGTAAATCACATTGAAGTAAGACTTTAATATAACTTCATGACAATGACACTGTAATTTTCCTATCATTTCTTGATAATGCTATCGGTATTTTGATATTGACAAAAAACGTACTGCATGAGGTAATTGAATTTGCTATTACATTGTGGTTCCTAAAATTGGACATCTCCACTTAACTTGTGGTTAGCAGCATGTATTAGTTGGAGAAAAAGGATATGCAAATGCATGGAATTGAAGTTTCATACAATTTCTTTTAAAAGATACTGTGGAAATTATGTTTAATTTTTGATATAATGGTGCACCTGTTTTAATGTGCTACTAACTACTGCAGGATGTTGCCGTCAAGCTGCTAACTGTCCAGGATTTTCATGACGATCAGTTAAAGGAGTTCCTAAGGGAGGTGAGTGCATAGAATAGTTGGTTGAACTGTTATATTCTAGCCACCATAAAATTATTTAGGTTTCAAGCCATGGAAGCAACCACTAATGCTTGCGTTAGGGTGGGCTATCAACATCACACCCCTTGTGGTGCAGCCCTTGCCCGGACCTTGCGTGAATGCGGGATGCTTTGTGCACCTGGCTGCCCTTTTATAAAGATAAGCCTACTTTCTGCAGCTGCGGCTGACCTCTTTCTGCTTTTTCTTGTTTCCCCGGTATATCAAGGGTAAGACAAAAAGCAAAACGACAGAAAGATGTACTCAAGTACATCTTTTTGTTTAGTTTAATATTGGTAGTAGTCCACCCCAACTATCTTGGAACTGAGGCATAGTAGTTGTAGTTTAATCTTGGCAATCTGCTCTCTAACATCAATTTTGTCTGTGTATTGCATTCATATCTAATGTGAAATTCATATTTAGTTGATGGATTTTTCCCGTTATTTGACTTTCTATTCACATTCTTATACTGGTGTTTACTGTTGGATGGTAACTCATGATTCATGTTTTACGAAGGTTGCAATTATGAAACGTGTTCGTCATCCAAATGTGGTGTTGTTCATGGGAGCTGTTACCAAGCGGCCGCATTTATCGATAGTAACTGAATATTTGCCTAGGTAACTTGTGTTTTAGTCACTGCATAATATTCTTACTTTCTAACTTCAAGTATTTGACTGGACTAAATTTTCTGTGCTTTGATTATGATGATAGGGGAAGTCTCTACCGTCTGATACATAGGCCAGCTGCTGGGGAATTGTTGGACCAGAGGAGACGTATCCGTATGGCTTTGGATGTGGTTTGTGCCAATCTCACATTTTATAGTTGCATGCCTTACATGTTTTTATCTAGAAAGTTTCTTATTCATTTCATATTCAGGCCAAGGGTATCAATTATTTGCATTGTCTGAACCCACCCGTTGTGCATTGGGATCTGAAATCTCCTAACCTGTTGGTTGATAAAAATTGGAATGTAAAGGTAAAGTGTTGCTGACTTACCTTTGGGTTTTCAAATGAATTTTGCAGTTCTCGTAATCTGAGATGTTTCTTCCAGGTTTGTGATTTTGGTCTGTCGAGATTTAAAGCAAACACGTTCATATCATCAAAATCAGTTGCTGGAACTGTAAGTTGCCTTCCAACATGCACAATCCACCCCCCCCTCCCCCCCCCTCCCCCTTTTCATATGCAAGTACCTGTAGTTACGAGCCTCTTGGCTCCATTTACCAATCTTGCAAGCTAAGATTCTTAGCACTTAGGAATTGCAAAAACAGGCATGTTCCCCCCGTCTCATATGCAAGTACTGGTAGTTACGAGCCTCTTGGCTCCATTTACCAATGTTGCAAGCTAAGATTCTTAGCACTTAGGAATTGCAAAAACAGGCATGTTGCGTACTGTGGAGCCTCTGATACAGGCAGCTGCATTCCTGTGCCATGGCGCGCTCTAGAGTACAACTATTTGTTTCTATTATCAACGTATTTAGTCAAGTTCGAATGGTGGAAAACTATGATTTGATACCAAGTTTGTCACGATCCAAAATAGGAGGCAGGCCCATGAACAACACCTAACAGGCCTAGTGCCTGCCGAGGGAACACTTAAACCTTGGTCCTGTCATAGAAATGCATGAAACAAGGATCTATCACATAGACAAGAGTGTTATATAAGGTCCCAAATGCCCAAAATAAAAATTGGCGTGCAAAGTTTTTCATGGGTAACACATAGTGCTTTCTCTCCCTCTGTATTTCTCTCTCTTTTATTTAATGCTGGCAAACTTAAAATATACGAAGAGCATGGAGTTTCAGACAGCCTCTCGTCTCTAGGTTTGTTGAATAGGCCGTGCCGCCACTGATATTGCCTTTAACATTGCCTTCATTGATACTTCAGAGCTTCTTTTTCTGAATAAAAGGAAAAATTGGTTTCACTGCTTTCTGTATCTCATGAAGCACTTCGAATACAATTAGTCTGATTGCGGCATCTTGGACCGGATGAACATATCCATCATGGATTGTTACTACTTCCCATGCGAGCACAAAGTCAGCTTTTTATTAGAATCCTGCAGGTTGATCATTTTCTTCCAAGTTCTATCAGCTGGTAACTCTCTTGCTCTACATTTCAGCCTGAATGGATGGCCCCAGAATTTCTGCGTGGGGAGCCCTCAAATGAGAAGTCTGATGTCTATAGCTTTGGCGTGATATTATGGGAACTAGTGACCATGGAACAGCCTTGGAATGGACTGGGCCCTGCGCAGGTCTACTTCTTCCCATGCCCCCCCCCCCCCCGGCGCGTTCTTTTTTTTCTCCAGCACTCATCCTTAGACTTTTCATCCTCCTGAGGGTGTCCTTGACATGTTGCCTGCAAACTTTCAGGTTGTTGGTGCTGTTGCTTTCCAGAACAGGAGGCTCACTATCCCACAGAACACTTCTCCAATGTTGGCATCTCTTATGGAAGCCTGCTGGAATGAGTAAGTAAACAATGTTATGCTAAAGGCCTACGGAGATCTAGGATAAAAGCACCTATCTTTTTCCTCTCTAGTATTCACATTTGTTGTCAATTAGAACTGGCAAATTAACCAAGCCATATTTTAGTAACCCGCCCAACTTGAACTGGCACGTTATGATCTTTTTGTTGATTGGACCAATGGGTTGAACCCAAAATTTTCCATCAAATCATTGGTTCGAAACGGGTCGAAATGGTGTAACCCAACGGGTCAAATGCAACCCAATTCCAACATAAAAATCAAATTGATTGTGTAAATGTGGAAGAACTTGGGTTAATAATTTAAGAAAAATACATTAGCTTTCATAGTGTTTTACTGTTAAGAAACAATAAAGAGGAGGAAAAACTGGGTATGTTGGGGGTTGAGTTATGACCCATTATTTGACCCATTTCGACTCAAAGAGACATGGGGGGTCGGATATGACCTATTTATTAGTTTAACCTATTTTGACCATCCCAAGTTTGACCTAACCCGTCCATTGGTCATATTATCAATCATGTTAAAGTACTATGACTTGTTTTCTTTAATTTCCGGTCACGTTTGTAACACTTTCTCATAATCTCACATTCCCTCGCAGTGACCCAGCACAACGCCCATCCTTTGCGAGCATTGTGGATACATTAAAGAAACTACTGAAGTCTCCACTACAGTTGATTCAGATGGGAGGAAATGTTAAGAGTTAGATACTCTCCACTTATTTTGAAGAATAAATTCATCATAGTTCCTAGATATATAACTACTTAATACTGACGAAGTTTGGAAAACCACAAGGTTTATGTCCAACAATTGCAAATATGTTGGCTATCTAACTTTTTGAATGATAAACAAGTCTCTGTCTGTTCTAGGGGAAAGAGGCATTTCTTAAGTTGTTTTATTGCAGAACCTGGACCACGTCAGTCCAGTATCCTGCAAATGTGAAATAACTAGAGGCTGCGACTGTAGTATTCGGGAAGAATATTCCCGTATAAGTCGCAATTATGTTGTATCCAAGGAAAGCATTCTTGAGAAAAGTTGATATAGCAGAATTGCAAGCCACTGCAATAATATAGAAGAGATTCAGTTATTTAAGGTTCTCTTTGAGCATTGTCTATGTTTTTGTGTACTGCTTATATTCCATTGATACTTCGAATGCTCATCTTGCCGATTTCTCCGCATTTATCCCTTTGTTACGAGCTTCTTTAAGTTATTCTACTTTGATACTGAACAGATGAAACTCTTTGTGTTTATTTCGATTTGTATTTGCGCTGTCTCTGATTGATGAGTCGTTTATTTGTGAATTTTTAGTCTACTATTGAAAATTGTTTAATATTACGCTCCGTACCGTTGTACTTTGGTTCAAAAGTACCCTTAATTTTAACAGAGGTACACGTGTCAGTTCATGGCAAAAGGCCCAATCCCAATTTTAAAATGTCCGAAATTAAAAATCAGCCGTAAGTTTATCCGATACCCGACCCATATCCCCACTCAAATAACCACCCTCAACAAGAAAAAGAACTCTTGTTCTTCCTTTCTCCTAGCACCAGAGAAGTTGTAATAAATAAAATCTCTAAAATTCTATAATTTTATAGAATCGATTGTAGAATTACTTGATATCAAAAGTTACAATCTTTTTATTTGTTTCTTTTATTTTTTTGCAGAACTTTTAGGTTTATTTCTTAGAATCTAATTCTTGGAATTGAATTTGATCTGGGGTTGTGTTTTTATACTTGAATCTGAATGTTCTTGAGGTTTTTTGTTAATTTTTCTATTTGAATTTGAAGAGGGATTTGTTTTTTGTTTGGAATTGTAACTGTTCAAACATTTAAAATGGTTCCTTAGCTTTGCTGAATCATGGTGTGTAGTCTTGTTTTTGTTTTTATTTTTGTTTCCTTTTGGATATTTATAGGGTTGCAATATTGGGACTTAGACATGCTGGTTTTATGCTGGCTTTTCTTCCTTCTTCTTTTTGTAAATGATGGATATAAATTATTCATATATTTTAATATAAAAATATAATAGTTTAGATATAAATTATGATCAATTTATATTCTATTCTCGCATTTTTCTAACAATTCGTGTAGGAAAAAAAATATATGAAAAAAGAGAAAAAGAAAGATTTACGGTTCAAGGAAGAAGGATGCATCTGTGACAACTTCAAAGATTTACGGTTCAAGGTAGAAGGATGCATCTGTGACAACTTCATCTAAGTGCATGTCAATTTCTCGTCAAGGCCATATGATATATTGATATTATCTTGCAAGTTCTCACCAAGGTCTTGTGGAAATTTTCTATAAATAGGCATATGTTTGTAGAAGAAAGGGCATCCCACTTTGTATTCAATTTTCTATCTAGTTTTTTTCTAAGTTTCTAAAGAGAAAGAGAAGAGTAATCTTAGTCTCTTCCTCTAGTCTTTCTCTTTGTAGTAAAAATATTCTTAGTCTTTTGAAAGTATTTTTTAGCTTTCCTTACTTCTTAATGGAGTAATTTCTTTTTGTTGGGATAGTTGATGAAGTTTGATATAGTTATAATACTATCTCAGTTTCAATATATTCTTGGCCTGAAACTTTATTTACATTTCACACTGTGCTGGAATGATAATTTTTTAATTATTATTATCACATCCACATATTTTATATCTAAGTTATTCTTATATTAATTTTGTAATTTTAACAGAGCAAAATTAATATATAAAAACTGATGAATAGAATATTAGAGTGAAAGTAATTTTTGGTAAGATTATTATTTTAAGTCTGTAATCTTGCTTTGCTCAGTTTTAATTCTCACGGAGAAATTGTTGAAGGCAAGATTATTAATTTTCTAGTAAAAATATTCTCACGAAGTTTTTACTACACTTGAGCACAAAATATTAGAGTGAAAGTAATTTTCAGTAAGATTATTATTTCGAGTTTGTAATCTTTCCTTCCTCAGTTTTAATTCTCACGGAGGAATTGTTGAAGGCAAGATTATTAATTTTTTAGTAAAAATATTCTCACGAAGTTTTTACTACGCTTGAGCACAATTCAGGCAAGATATTTCAGTTTAATCGTCACTAGTTTTAAATCAATTAATTGACATAACCTCACGGAGTGTTAATTATTTATTTATTTCTTAGTGTAAAAATATAATTGTATTAGCAATAAGCAATTATTCTTTAGAGAAATACGTATGAAACTGAGATTTTATTGTAATGAATATATCAAGTGAATTCAACGATTCCCAGCTCTTTTTAAATACTAAACTTTTCAGAAGAAATTTGTCTTAATTTAACATTCCAAACACACCTTTCATCAATTTGGTTCTCTAAAATAGTAGTCAAAATATTACAAGTCTGTAGCTTAGATTGTCCAATCTCTGTGGGACGATATCATAAACTATACTAGAATTTGACAGAGTACGAGCAGCAAATCCTATACACACAAGCTTCGTCAAATTTTTGGCGCCGTTGCCGGGGATTGGCACACATCTACTTCAGATGAAATATTTTATTACTAATTTGAGAATTTATTATTATTGTTAATTAAAATGTTATCTCCTACATACTACTATCATCATTGTTACTATTATTATGAGCAATTCTATAAAATATTGTAAAAGAGCATATAAAAAAAAGAAAAAAAAGAAATCCCTCATAGTTAGTACTTAAACCTACTCTATTTTATATTTTATTATTATATTATCATTATTAGTACTAACATCTATATAATAGTATAATATATTAGTTTTGTGATTCGCAATCTCATTTTTTTTATAAGTATATTTTATTATTTTATTATTATTATAATTGTAAGTACTTGTTTACTATTCTAGTTCTAAAAGTATCCTTTGTACTATTCTATATTACTATTATAACTATTACTTTTACTATATCTATAAAATAACATTTTATTCAATTTTTTTTAATTGATGGTACTTTAATCCTTCAACATACTTGATTTATTATTAATTTTTTTTTCATATAATATAATTAATATTATATTATTTCTTTTGATGGTTAGTTACAACTTACTCTTTTAGTTAACTATAATATTACCGTACTAATTTTTTTTAATTCATTTTTAAAACCATCTATTACTATTTTAGGAACTGTCTTTATTTTACTTTAATTTCAGATAGTTTATGACCCGTGTCATGACCTCAGTTCACCCTCCATGAACATGTCGTGATGGCACCTAGTTCCTACAACTAGGTAAGACTAACAGTGCGGAACAAACAACATAATTTGCGAAAATAACTAATTAAGCCTGAACAACTATAAGAAATCTGTATAAAACTGCCACTGGGCACATACAACTCATAATAAATGCGGAAGTCTAAAATCTCATCCCAAAACCCGGAAACTCACGGGAACCACAGGCTAATAGAAATACTGTAAATGCTCTAATCTCCAGAATGTCTACATCAAAAGTATGATAGAATCTAAACACTACAGATAGAATAAGGAAGGAGACTCTTCAGTCTGCGGACGCTGCAGATATACCTCGAAGTCTCCGTAGCTCTCCTGACCTCAAGGATAGTGCGCCTGAGTGGAGGTACCTGGATGATCTGCACATGAAAAACATGCGCAGGAAGGGCATGAGTACACCACAGCGGTACTCAGTAAGTGCCAAGCCTAACCTCGGTTGGGTAGTGACGAGGAAGGTCATGGCCCTACTGAGATAAACATAATATATGATAGGATAAGGAAAACAGTATAGATAAAGTCTACAGTGAGAATCTAAACAGGATAAATAAGGGAAACAGTAATAGGAAGCAGAAACAAAACAATATAAGGAATACTGCTCACAACAGGAAGTAATAGCCGGGGATCTCTTGGTATCCCGAGGATCTCTTGGTATCCTCATCATATACACGAGGGATCTCTTGGTATCCCGAGGATCTCTTGGTATCCTCAAATCTTACATTTACAGGTGCCAGGGATCTCTTGGTATCCCGCACCTCAGTTCAGAACATAACAAGTACAAGGGGATCTCCCGGGATACCGTCCCGTAGTCCCAATTTAATTCACACAATAACAACCCAAAATATTAGGATAAATGCTAAACTCAGAATAAGTAATAGAAATCCTAGTCTAACATGCTTCACGTAGTACAAACAAGACAGTTTAAGCACTTAAGCAAGTAAGTCAACTAAACATGCTTCTCTAAACTAGCATAGGATAAACATACAATTCAAAATAAACAGGTAGGCAAGAAGAACTCAATTTAAATACTTCAAGTAAAATGGATCTCCAACAATTAGCTCAAGTACGCGCTCGTCACCTCACGTACGAGGCTTTCAAATATCAAATATCATGTCCTAAGGGGAAGAGGTCCCCCACACAAGGTTTGACAAGCCACTTACCTCGAACCGGCTCAATATCAACTAGAAACCACGCCCTTGCCACGAGTATCCGACTCCAAATGGCCCAAATCCAATAATCTTCTCTTCAAAACCCTCTGAAAATCGCCCTTCCCCGAGCTCAAATTGATTTTTTCTAACTTATGAAATCTAACCCTCGAAATTTCTATATTTGCACAGGCATTTCCGCTTCTGCGGACAAGGGACCGCTTCTGCGGACCAAGCGCCGCTTCTGCGGCTTTTCCTTAAGTTGCCAGGCTCCGCTTCTGCGGTCTTATACCGCACCTGCGGATACCGCTTATGCGGATTTCCTACCGCTTCTGTGGTTTCAACCAAAGACCCAAGGGCCGCATCTGCGACTATTATCTCGCAGGTGCGTAACCGCTTCTGCGGTTACACTTTCGCACCTGCGAAAACTGAAGAAACACTCGAATTTCGCTCCTGCGATGGACAGGCCGCTTCTGCGGCTCCGCACCTGCGGAACCCAAACTGCAGGTGCGGTTATGACAGGTACCAGGAGTCTTCAGCAATTCTTCAACTTCAAAAACCTTCCGTCAACCATCCGAATTCATCCCGAGGCCCCGGGACCTCAACCAAAAACACCAATAACACCTAATACCTCATTCAAACTTGTACCAATCCTTAAACCACCTAAAACAACGCCGGAAACTTGAATTAATCAATGATTTGAGCCTAAGAACTTCAAATTCCATCAAAATACATTTTCGATCAAAAATCCAACCAAAACACGTCCACCCGGATATCAAAATCAAAATCGTGGACAACAAAATTTCAGGCCTTATCAGCAAGCAACTCCATATCAGCAAAGGCCTCAACAAGGCCATCCAAATCTTGATGACCTTTTGTACAAGTACATTAAGGTTACTGATGAAAAAAATGAAAAGCCAAAATTCAGCTCTAAAAAATCTTGAAATTCAGTTAAGCCAATTGGCAACTCTTGTGTCTGAAAAGATTCAAGGTCCTTTACCGAGCAATACAGAGAAAAATCCAAAAGAATACCTTAAGGCCATCGCCTTACGGTCAGGTACGACTCTTGATGAACCCTATGCAAACAGACAAGAAAAGAATCAATCAGAACAACAGGTAGACAAGGGCGAAAATGTTGAGACACCCTCTCAACCATCAGAAGAGAAAGAAGCCAAGAAAAAAGAAGAAAAAAATAATAAAAATTTGACTTCTTTCCCTGTTACAATTCCTTCGCCACAAAAGATGAAAAGAGAAAAGCTTGATAATCAATTTGCAAAGTTTTTGGAGATTTTAAAACAAATTCACATTAACATTCCTTTTACTCATGCTTTATTGCAAATGCCTTCATATGCCAAATTTCTGAAAGAAATTTTATCAAGCAAAAGGAAATTGGAAGAAGTTTCTGTGGTAATGCTTACTGAAAAATGCAGTGCTATACTTCAAAATAAGCTACCACAAAAACTCGGTAACCCAGGTAGTTTTATCATTCCATGTACTCTGGGAGGAGTATACATTGAAAAAGCACTTTGTGATTCTGGAGCTTCAATAAATTTGATGCCATTTTCTATTTTTAAAAAATTAGATCTTGGTGAAATGAAAGACACATGTGTTTCACTTCAATTTGCTGATCAAAGTACTAAGAGACCAAAGGGAATAATTGAAAATGTGCTTGTAAAAGTAGATAAATTTATTTTTCCTGTAGATTTCATAGTACTTGAAATGAAGGAATGTTCTGATGAACCAATTTGTCATGACCCAATTCCCAACCCGGTCGTGATGGCGCCTCTCGTGAAGACAAGGCCAGCCAACAGTACATTAACACTTCTTTTAACAATTTCTTAGCATAAACAGGTCTAAATCATAGTTACTGAATAATCATAAGTGCGAAAATAAAACATAACATAACGGGGAAAAACCATCCCAAACTCAGCCCGATGATCGGGGTGTCACAAGTCATGAGCTACTACAGAGTTTGAATAAAATACTACAAGTCTGTGTCTAAGAACATAGTCCGAAGATAAATAAAATACTGATGATAAGGAAGAAACGGAGCTGTGGACGTCGACAGCTACCTCGTCTCTCCGGGTCCGCCTGGTTTGGAAGGAATCAGCACTCAGGAACGAACTCAGCTATGCCTGTATCTGCACACATGGTGCAGGGAGTAATGTGAGTACTCCGACCCAGTGAGTAATAAAAATAAATAACGACTGAGAACACAAAAATCCCGTAAAGGCACAAGTAATGCTATCTCAAGTAGTGAAACCAGATAAAACAGTAAAACCAGTGAAATATAGCAAGAAATTCTCTTTGAAACAATTAAATCAATTATGCTCAACCAGTAAGAAATGCTCAGAACACTGCCCCGCGGGCATGATTTTTGTTCCTGGTCAGTCATTGTTACCTGACCGGTCAGCCATTGTTACCTGACCAAAACGCGTATTACAGTGCCATTGTTACCACTGATCAGTCATTGTTACCTGATTGGTCAGTCATTGTTACCTGACCAAAACGCGCATAATAGTGTCAGTGTTACCACTGTCTAAAAGTTAACCGCTCTNAGAAAAGCTTGATAATCAATTTGCAAAGTTTTTGGAGATTTTAAAACAAATTCACATTAACATTCCTTTTACTGATGCTTTATTGCAAATGCCTTCATATGCCAAATTTCTAAAAGAAGTTTTATCAAGCAAAAGGAAATTAGAAGAAGTTTCTGTGGTAATGCTTACTGAAAAATGCAGTGCTATACTTCAAAATAAGCTACTACAAAAACTCGGTGACCCAGGTAGTTTTACCATTCCATGTACTCTGGGAGGAGTATACATTGAAAAAGCACTTTGTGATTCTGGAGCTTCAATAAATTTGATGCCATTTTCTATTTTTTAAAAATTAGATCTTGGTGAAATGAAAGACACATGTGTTTCACTTCAATTTGCTGATCAAAGTACTAAGAGACCAAAGGGAATAATTGAAAATGTGCTTGTAAAAGTAGATAAATTTATTTTTCCTGTAGATTTCATAGTACTTGAAATGAAGGAGTGTTCTGATGAACCAATTATATTGGGTAGACCATTTCTTGCAACTGGCAGGGCAATCATAGATGTCCATCAAGGACAACTAATTTTAAGAGTTGATGAAGAAAGAGTTATTTTTGATATGCAAAAGATACTAAGATTCTCAGAAGATGATACATCATCTTCATGCTTTTCAATTGACATAATTAATAATCTTATAGATGAATTCAAAGATGATCAATTAATTTCTGACTCAATGGAAAGATGTTTGGTCAAATCTGGCACCACACAGGATTGTAACGATCCGACCGGTCGTTTTGAGTTCTAGCGCTCCGTTCAGCAGCCTGAGGCCGTAAGCAGCTTCATTTCAGGTATTATGACTTGTGCGCGTGGTCGGAATTGAATTCCGCGAAGTCCAGAGTTGATCTAGAAAGAGAATTCTCATTTCGGAAGCTTAAAGTTGAAAGAATGAACTAGGATTGGAATTTTAGGTAAAAGACCTCGGAATCGGGATCTGAAGGTTCCAGCAGGTTCGTATGATGATTTCGGACTTGGGCTTATGCCCGGTTCGGGTTTTGGATAACCCGGGAGCGTTTTGGCGCCTATTGTGGAAGTTATCATTTTTGAAGAATTTCATAAGTTTGGCTTGAAGTGCATTTCAGTGCTATCGATGTCCGTTTGGGATTCCGAGTCTGGGAATAGCTCCGTATGGTGATTCTGGAGTTGGGAGCACGATCGAAAGTGAATTCGGAGGTCTGTAGGTCATTTTGGAGCCATTTGGCTAAAGATAGAAATTTGAAAGTTTTTGAGAAGTTTGACCGGAAGTGGACTTTTTGATATCGGGGTCGGAATTCGATTCCGGAAAGTTGTAGTAGGTCCGTAATGTCAAATATGACTTGTGTGCAAAATTTGAGGTCAATCGGACGTGATTTGATAGGTTTAAGCATCGAAAGTAGAAGTTGGAAGTTCTAAAGTTCATAAAGCTTGGATTGGGGGGTTGATTCTTGATTTCAGCGTTGTATGATGTGATTTGAGGCCTCGAGCAAGTCCGTAATGTGTTTTGGGACTGGTTAGTATGATTGGTTGGGGTCCCGGGGGCCTCGGGTGGATTCCGGATGGTTAACGGATCGAACTTGGAATTTGGAAGAGGGCTGAAGGATCTGGTTACTAGTATTTTCGCTTCTGCGGTGGGCTAACCGCAGAAGCGGAAACGGAGTCGCAGAAGCGGTTTTTGGTCAAAGGTTCGAAGGCCGCAGATGCGGTCAAAGTTTCGCAGAAGCGGGATCGCATCTGCGGGAGGCGTGTCGCAGAAGCGAGATTGGGGTGGCCCAGGGAGGATCGCATATGCGGTATTTGGACCGCACCAACGGAACCGCAGAAGCGGTCGTTGGACCGCAGGTGCGAAAAATGCTGGGGGCAGAATGGTTGTTTAAAATCGGGATTTTTGCCATTTCTTATCATATTTTCTTGGCTTGGGCGATTTTTGGGAGAGCTTCAAGTGGGATTTTCGTCATCTATGTAAAGGTAAGTTACTCCTACTCATTTCCAAGTTAAATACAAGATTATATCATGGAATTAGACATGAAAATTGTAGGAAAATTGGGATTTTTGGAAGAAAACCTAGAAACTTGATAAATTGGATTTTACCACGAATTTGAGCATGGAATTAGGAGTAAATTATATATTTGAGCTAGTGAAGCTATGGGTAGAGTATGTCTTCAAGAAATTTCGGATTTCCGGGCACGTGGGCCCGAGGGCGTTTTGATCAACTTTTCGATCGGAGTTAGGAATTGCTATAAATTTGATTGTAACGAATGTTTGTGCATATATTAATGGATTTGCGTAACCGTTGGCTAGTTTTGGAGCGTGGTGCATCAATTAGAGTCTTCGAAAGGGCGTGGAATGCCGGTTATGGATCTTCGGAGCGAGGTGAGTCTCCTTTCTAACCTTGTAAGAGGGAATTGTCCCCATAGGTGAAATAATTGATTATGTGCTCCTATTTGCGGGGGCTACGTACGCATGAGGTGACGAGAGTCCGTGCGTAGCTACTATTATGCTATTGTCCGGGTAGTTAGGGCCCAAAAGCATGTTATACTTGGATTATTTATGAACCCATTGATAGCTTGAATTGCTTGAATCACCTTGGATTAGTAAATGAATTTAAAAGGATATTAAACATCATTTTTCCTGAATTGTTAAAAAGAGAAATTGTTTTGTTTGGGTATATATTCCCGATAAGTTCTTAATTGACTGATTGAGCATGTATCTCTATGTGTACCTGCGTCGCATGCATGATTCGCGAGCAGGGTATGTGTTTATTTATGGAACGGGCCGAACGCCTCGACAGATTAAATAGATGCATCTATGGTTCGTGCCGTTCGACCCTCGGCAGTGCACAGTTTACATTTCTGCTGGAGCGGGCCGTCGACCTCGGCATGATTTGCGCATGATATGTATGTTTTTTCCTGAGAATTTGAAATGTTGATATTGCCTTTCATGGCTTGATATAAATTGATAAGATATTAAAGAGTAAACCTTGAAAATCCTTGATTATTTACTGAATGTGTTTACCTGTTTTCTGGCTTCGTGAATTAGGACTGCTATATAAATCCATGATTTCCTCACATTTTTAGTATATTGTCAAATGACCTCTAGTAAGTGTCGAAGTTGACCATCTCGTCTCTACTTCTTCGAGATTAGACGGGATACTTATTGAGTACACGTTGTTTACGTACTCATACTACACTTCTGTGCATTTTTGTTGAACAGGTATATTTATCTCTAGCAGCCCACTGGGCATAGCAGCACGGATGATTCGGGGACTAGGTGAGTTGCATTATTCGAGGCGGCCCGCAGCTAGAAAAGTCCCTTCCAGTAAATTCTATTTTCTTTCCGTCCACTGTATTCCGGACGGATGTTGTATTGTATTTTATTTCCTTATCAGTAGATGCTCATGCACTTGTGACACCAGGTTCTGGGATGGTTTTTAAATATTTTTGTATTGATTGCTAGTATTTAACTTGAATTGAAGCAGTTATCTTTTTACTTATGAAATTTAAGGAGAATCTTCGTTTCCAAAATTGTTAAAATTGGAGTTTAATTAAGTATTTGGTTGGCTCGCCGGAGTGTCCGGCGCCATCACGACCCTTAATGGATTTTGGGTCGTGACAACATGGTATCAGAGCACTAGGTTTCTAGGGTCTCACGAGTCATGAGCAAGTCTAGTAGAGTCTCGCGGATCGGTATGGAGACGTCTGTACTTATCCTCGGGAGGCTGCAGGACTGTTAGGAGTACTTCCCTTCTTGATTCCTTATCGTGCGATTTGATCCTTGGAGGCGTATGCCTTTAATTCATTCCCACTCAATCTTACGCGATGCAAAGCGCTTGTTATAAATCGAGAATTGAGGAATCATAACGGTACTACAGGTGTGATACATGATGTTTCTCCTGGTATAGCTGATCGGATTATTATCGTCGCTTTATGGAAGAACATTTTATTGTTTCAGCTCAGTAACGGTACTTCTGAGGGCTTTGAGGCTAGGCACAAGTTGTCATGATGCTTATGAATGACTGTTCTGCAGTAGTGATATGATGGTAGGATGTTGCCCACGTGTCGGGGCA